CCCTGCTCTGCGGGAAGCCTGCTTCTCCCTCTTCCACTCCCCCTGCTTGTGTTCCCTCTCTCGCTGTCTCTCTCTCTGTCAAAGAAATAAATAAATAAAATCTTTAAAAAAATAAAACAAAAACCAACCCAAACCCCAGATGACCAAAAAGAGAAGACCAAGAAGAGAAGCGAACCACCTTCATCAAGGACACAATAGACCCAAGTTCCCCTGGGACAACTTTCCATTGAAACGTGAGTCATCTGGGGAAGGGAAAAGAGAATGGAGCTGGTGATTGAGCCCTAGATGGGGCGACAGGAGCTCTGGGTCCTGCTCCTGCCTCTGCCACCACCCAGCCAGGTGACCAAAGCTAGGGGAGCCACAAAACTCCTAGGCCACAGTGTCATTGTTTCTAGCCCCAACTTCCTCCTGATCCATCCCCTTTCATCCCCTTTGATACCGTGTTCAGATTTAGGAGCTTCTCCACGCCAGGGGCTTTCTGGCTTCATGGTGTGTCTCTCCCACCCTCCTTTTTCTCTTTGAATTTCCTCACTAGACTAGGGCCTCTAAAAGCACTGTCATTTGCAGGCTGGGTTCCCAGTACTGACTGGGTCACGAGGGGAGAATTGCTGAGGCCAGGAGAAGGATGTGGAAGGCTGGGTCAGCCAGTGCAGGCGTCATTCCCAACAGGGTCCTGGGAGAAGGGGCTCAGCATTTCCTGAAGGGAAATGGCTCCCATAAATAGACAGAGGGATGGGAAAAGGACTCGTCCATCCCTTCCCTCCTGTCAGCTCTTCCTTCTGGTGTCCAGACTATGCAAAACTCTTAGAAATATTTTTCATTCAAACGTGTTCCTGCCAGTGTGTGTGTGTGGGAGAGATGTGGTGTCTGCTTTCTTGTATGTATATTGTAGATCTAAAATAAGAACTGAAGAAGGCATGCATGCCTTTTATTTGTTCATTTACCCACAGTAACCTCTCATTAGTCCATTCCAATATAAAGCTAGAGTTTTTTCAGTGAGGTTTTTATTGGGAAGGAAGGATTCAGAATGTTCACCTTCTGATACCATGTCTTATTTCAGGGTTCATCCAAGGGTTCAGCAGCTCTCCTGTAGTAATGCTTATAATATGCTCTTAAAGTCCTTGCAAAGGTTAGGTCTCATGATAGCTTTACTAAGAAGTTTCTAGCACCTCCAGTGTCATGAAGAGCCTCAGGGAGGGAAAAGGACTTCTTGAGAGCTGCTCTTCTGCCCCTCAATCGTGTCACGGGAATGATCACTTCGCACCCAACCTCCTGTGCCAGGCTGGAGGCAAACCCAAGGGCGGGGGAGGTTAGTTTCCTTAGTAGCTGAAGCTAGCTTAGCTTCATGGATATCGATGCAGGTTCATGTTTAAAACTCACACATACAGGGGCGCCTGGGTGGCTCAGTGGGTTAAGCGTCTGCCTAGGGCTCAGGTCCTGATGCTAGGGTCCTGGGGTGGAGCCCCAGGTCAGGCTCTCTACTCAGCTAGGAATCTGCTTTTCACTCTCTCTCTGTGCCCTCTCTCTCTCTAAAAAATAAATAAAATCTGCGGCTCCTGGGTGGCTCAGTCGTTAAGCATCTGCCTTCAGCTCAGGTCAGGGTCCCAGGGTCCGGGGATCGAGCCCCGCATCGGGCTCCCTGCTCAGCGGGGAGCCTGCTTCTCCCTCTCCCACTCCTCCTGCTTGTGTTTCCTCCCTCGCCGTGTCTCGGTCAAATAAATAAATGAAATCTTAAATAAATAAATAAATATCTTCCCCCCAAAAATCTCACACATACAGTAGTTTTACTTTTTCGCTTTGGGAAAGTCGTTGAACATAGCAGATGAACACAGATTTAACACGGCACTAGGCGTTGCGGGGGGGGGGATTCTTTTGGTTGCCTAAACAAAGGTATGAAGATGTCTCGTGGAACCCACGGGCAGGGCTGCTGCCTAGCCTCAAAAGGGGACTGGATCCAGGGGCTGCTAAGCCATCTGCGCACTGGCATCAGTCTCCCCAACGGCGCAGGCCTCCCGGCTCCTTACTCCACAAGCTGGGAAATGGCTCCCTCGCAGGCTCCGGATTCCATGTTCCAGCCACGCAGATCGGCGCAACTCCCAAGGAGTGGAATCTGATTGGCCCGACTTGAGTCAGGCCTCCTCTAGAGCCAATCAGCTGTGGGTGTGGGTGGGATCATCATTCAAACATGGCTGCCGGCGACCCTGGAACCCTTCGGATGAGGGATAGGACAGTTCGTAGAAAAGGGGACCTGCTTGTGAGGTAGGCAAGCTCCGCATAGCGCCTGCCATATCTACTACCCGTGTTATGTTTCTGTGACCGTTTTGTGTTCATTTGTTTTACCAATGTATTCATAAGTATCCTAGTTTCTTGGATTCGTTCGCTAAGTACTTCGTCAGAGATACTGCTTGTGAAGGAAGTAATGGCATTCTGGAGCAAGGGCTTTGGGACCAGGCATGTCTCTTTTAAAATCTCAGTGATGCTCTTATGACTTCTTATTATGTGCTTGGTACATGGTGCTGGATGCTTGGATTGATCCTTCTTTCCTTCCTCTGCCCACCCCCTTCCTTTCTTTTTTTGGTAATAGCTTTATTAAGGAATAATTTACTTACCATAAACATCCATCTACTGGGGACGCCTGGGTGGCTCAGTCGGTTAAGCGTCTGCCTTCGGCTCAGGTCACGATCCCCAGGGTCCTGGGATCGAGTCCCGCATCGGGCTCCCTGCTCCACGGGGAGCCTGCTTCTCCCTCTGCCTCTCTCTCTCTCATGAATAAAAAAAAAAAAGAATTCATCTACTGAAAGCATACAATTTGATGGCTTTTAGTATATTCACAGAGTTGTGCAACCACCACCACAGTGGTTTAGAACATTTTCATCACAGGGAAGAAGAAACCCATTCCTACCCCTTAGCCGTCACCCCCTAACTCCCTCTCCTTTCCCCTCAGCCCTAAGTGACCACTTATCTACTTTATGTCTCTATAGCTTTTCCTGTTCTGGACATTTCAGATAAATGGACTCAAACGATGTATGGGCTTTTGTGACTGGCTTCTGTTCATTTAGCGTAATGTTTTCAAGGTTCACGTTGTAACATGTATCAGTACTTCGTTGCTTTTATGACTGAGGAATTTTCCATGGTATGGGTATACCAGATTTAGTTATCTGTTCATCAGTTGATGGCATTTGGATTATTTCCACTTTATGGCCATTATGAATAATGCTGGTATTAATATTAGTGTAGAAGAACATATGTGGACATATGTTTTCATTTGTCTTGGGCGATGCATTACTTCTAGAATTATGTTTGTGAAGTGCTTAAATCAATGCCTGACAGATCACAGGATGTAACAGTGCTAATTTCTTTACCCTGACCTTCCCAAAGGTTATGAATGAAAGCCATTTCCTGCTTGCTGCCCTTAGAAGAAAGTCAGGCTCCCCTAAGGAGCCTGACCCCTGTGGGTCAGATTCTGAGGTTACTGTCCCCCCGGGTCTCGGCATGACCAATTAGCAGATTCTTGCATCAGGTTGTGAGAGGTGTCAATCCAGGCTGGTTCTAGTTGAAGGTGCTGAGAGAGCAGATAAGGAGGTTTGAGGGCCAAAATATAGAATTTGGAGTAGAGAGTTACAAATTCCCTGTTCTGTCTCTTTTATTTTTTTAAAGATTTTATTTATTTATTTTAGAGAGAGCGAGAAAGAGCAAGCATGGTGGGAAGGGCAGAGGGAGAAGAGAATCTCCAGCAGACTGCACGCTGAGCAAGGAGCCTGACATGGGGCTCAACACAGGGCTCGATCCCAGGACCCTAAGATCATGACCTGAGCTGAAACCAGGAGTCAGACACTTAACGGATTGTGCCACCCAGGGGCCCTCCTGTTCTGTCTCTTAAACAGTTGTGATTCTGGGCAAGTCTCTGAACCTTGATCTTCTCACCTTCAAAATAAGGATAACAGTAACACACCTGGAAATTTGTGGGAGGGAGGGCGGTTATATATGTTATAATGTGTGTATAGTATGGATATCAGGTGCTGCACAAATGTATTATAAGCTCTAGGGCTGCCCTAGAAAAAGAATCAGACTTTTTTTTTTTTTAAAGATTTTATTTAGGGGCACCTGGGTGGCTCAGTCGTTAAGCATCTGCTTTTGGCTCAGGTCATGATCCCAGGGTCCTGGGATCAAGCCCCGCATGGGGCTCCCTGCTCAGCGGGAAGCCTGCTTCTCCCTTTCCCACTCCCCCTGCTTGTGTTCCTGCTCTCGCTCTCTCTCTGTGTCAAATAAATAAATAAATAAAGTCTTTAAAAAAAAATTAAGATTTTATTTATTTGTCAGAGAGAGAGCGCGCAAGTGCACACAAGCAGGGGGAGTGGCAGGCAGAGGGAGAAGCAGGCTCCCCAGTGAGCAGGGAGCATGATGTGTGACTCGATCCCGGGCCCGAGATCATGACCTGAGCCAAAGGCAGACGCTTAACCAACTGAGCCACCCAGGCGCCCCAAGAATCAGACTTTTAAAAACTTCATTGAAATCATAGCAGGTTCTGAGGCAGTTGGAGCCCTTCGGGAGTTATGGCAGGCACTGGTCAGATCCTTCAGGGTCTCCTGTTAGCCCCTCAAGGCTGCAGTCCCCTTGTGAAACTAGTTCTTGCCTGCAGCTGGTTTTCTGGCTCTGAAAAAAATGCGGATTATCCTCAGTTCACCAGAACTGCAGGTACATCATTTTTTTTTTTTTAAGTAGGCTCCGTGCCCAATGTGGGGCTTGAACTCACTACCCTGAGACCAAGAATCATATGCTCTACAGACTGAGTCAGCCAGGCGCCCCAGGCACATGAGAGTTGCAGTGTGATCTTACTTGAACATTTTTGGCCTATTTGGTTATTACAGCATCATTTATTAAAAAGTCCACTTTTGCCCTAGTGATTTAAGATGCTACCTTTATCATATATAAAGTTCTTTTCTGTTTTTTATTTGAGAGAGAGAGAGAGAGCACAAGCTGATGGAGGGGCAGAGGGAAAGAGAAATAGACTCACTGCTGAGTAGGGAGCCTGATGCAGGGCTCCATTCCAGGACCCTGAGATCAGGACCTGAGCCGAAGGCAGACGTTTAACCGACTGAGCCACCCAGGCGCCCCTATCATATAGAAAGTTCTATGTGTAGTTGGGTCTAGGCTTTCTATTTTGTTCCACCAGTCTGTTGATCTATTCTTCTGGCAGTAGCACACTGTTTTAGTTATAGAGGCTTTATAGTATGTTTTAATATATAGTGGTGGCCCCCCAACCCCCCCCCACTCTTTTGTATTTTTCAGTGTTTTCCTAGCTTGTCTTCCATGTCTGGTATTCTGGTTTTAAAGTTGTCAGTGTCCTCCTGGGAGGTCCTGGTGGAGGGTTAGGGTAGGTTGGGGGTGGAGTTGTCTTTTGGACCTGGCTGTGCTTGCTTACTTCAGTAAACTGGTTTTGTAAGATTGTTTTCTTTTGGATTCATGAGCACTCAAGACTTCTAGTGCCTGCCTAGAACTTATTTTCCCTAAGCCTCAAAAACAGCATTTTAAAGCAGTCTTCCATTGAGAGAATGTTAAAACTTGGTATATTTGTATAAAGGGTTTAGAAGAGTTTTCTGTAAAATTCTGGCAACTGTACTGCAAACTGAAATCATTTCCAAATAAAAAAATATGTAAGGTCGTTACGCTTACAGTAGTATCTTGGTAAAAGCTTTCAGAAAATCTACACAAATTGTGTTCACAGATTCTGCCTTTGTTCACTTGATTGACCCCTGAAAGGAATCCAGCCCTCAGTTCAGTGTAATCTCCTTATGGAATTGGTGCTGCTTTTCATTCTGTGGTTTGTGCTTCAACGTTTAGTTGTCCTGAGATCATGCAAACATCTATGCCTTCACCCTTATACCCCAAAGGAAATTCAGCCCATCCTTCGAGCCCAGATCTACAAAGGGATCTTGCTTTCACTGTTTTGCTTATCATATTGTGTTTTGCGTTGGAGGCACTCATGTGCATCTTTCCCCCCAGCTTTATTGAGATATAATTGACATATAACTTTGGATAAGTTTAAAGTATACAACACGATGATATGATTATATGATATATGTATACACTGTGAAGGTTAGTTAACACATCTATCACCTCACACAGTTAACGTGTGTGTGTATGTAGTGAGAACATTTAAGATCTACTCCCTTAGCAACTTCCAAGTGTATAATACAGTATTGTCTTGTGCATCGTCTTTCCTGTACAAGAATGAAAACTCTCAGAGGGCAAATCAGTATCTTTATTTTATATTTCTCCCAGGCTTCACTCAGTTCCCTTTGCACAGTAGACACAACTGTTAGTTGGAAGAATGAATTATATGATTATTTTTCTATTAGCCGTAGGTTTCCCTATAATCTCTCTTTGGACCCAATGAAACAGCTGTACTGGGAAGTGGGAGGCCAGAATACAGGTCCTGGTGGTCAAGTAAGGGGAAGGAGGTAATGAGAATACAGTGTCGCTTACGCTTCCATTTTGGAGATTGCTGTGCGGTAGCAAAGCGCGTGGTGGCCGGAGGGGTTCAGGTGAGCCAACGCCCTGCAGGCCTGGTTGTGGCTGCAAGGCAACGAAGGACCTGCTGGGGGCGCCACAGGGCAGACCGAGACACCCACAGAAATTTATTTTTTTAAATGAGTTTTATTGAGAGATACTTCACATACATTACAGTTCGCCCATTTAAAGGGTACAGTTTAATGGTTTTTAGCATGTTTACAGACTTGTGCAACCGTCACCACAATCAATTTTAGGACATGTTCATTGCCTCAGAAAGAAACCCCATACCCATTAGCAATCACTCCCATTTTTCTTGCCCTACCCACTGTCGGCCTAGGCAAGCACTAATCTCCTTTCTGTCCTTACAGAATTGTATTCTCCTTAAGCATAGTTGTTTTTTTTTTTTAAGATTTATTTTTATTTATTTTTATTCATTTGAGCATGAGAGCAGGGGCAGAGAGGCAGAGAGGCAGACTCCCCGCTGAGCTGGGAGGCACATGAGGCGCCATCCCAGGATCCTGAGATCATGACCTGAGCAGAAACCGAGAGTCAGAGGCCTAACCCACTGAGCCACCAGGGCACCTCAACACAGTTTTTTTTTTAAAGTAATCTCTGCACCCAGTGTGGGGCTCAAACTCACCACCCCGAGATCAAGAGTGAGCCAGCCGGGAGCCCCTCTTTAAACATAATTTGATGTGCTCTATAATATTCCATCAAATAACTATATCATAGTTTATGTTACCATT